GCACTGACTCGACAGCACACAACAACAATGAAAGAGAAACTAACATGTCTTGGAAGAAGTGAAGTCAGAATGCTTCTTAGAAGGGAGGATGGTGAGTCTTCATCTCTTGTACTTTAGACATGCTATCAGGAGAGACCCAAGCCATGGTGTTTTCAATAACCTCATATGGATGTGAAAGCTGAACAGTGACTAAGGAACATCGTAGAAGAATTGATGCCTTTGAGTTGTGGTGTTGGAGGCGAATACTAAAAGTGCCATGGACTGCCAAAGGAACCAACAGATCTGTTTTGGAAGAAGTGCAGCCAGAGTGCTCCTTGGAGGCCAGGATGGCTAAGCTTCGTCTCTCATACTTTGGACATATTGTCAGGAGGGAACAGTTGCTGGAGAAGGATGTCATGCTGGGTAAGATGGAGGGTCAGAGAAAAAGAGGAAGACCCTCAACGAGATGGATCAGCCAGGTGGCATCTTTGATGGCGTCAAGTGTGGCAGCGGTAGTGAGGTTAGCCCAGGATCGGACATTGTTTTGTTCTGCTATGCATGGGGTCGCTATGAGTCGGTTCCGACTCAATGGCTCCTGACAACAACAACAACAACATCAGGAGAGACCAGTCCCTGGAGGGCATCATGCTTGGCAAATTATGTTGCTAAGTGCTATTGAGTTGGTTTCAACTCACAGTGACCTTACAGAGGATTTCCAAGGAGCAACTGTTGAGTTTGAACCACCAACCTTGCAGTCCAATGCTTATCCTATAGTACCAGGGTCAGCAAAAAAGAAGACCCCCAACAAGATGGATTGACACCGTAGCAGTAACAGTGGGCTCAAACATAGCAATTATGAGGATGGCTCAGGACCAAGCAGTGTTTCATTCTCTTGTGCAGAGGAGGAGAAACTGACTCAAGGTACCTAACAACAACACAGAGGAGAAAACTGAGTCACAGAGAGATTCAAAAACGTACCCAAGGAGACCCAGCTAGGAGATAGCGGAGTAGGACTTAAACCCAGATCTGTGAGACTCCAGAGAATTCTTGACTATTATGCTTCACTAACATCAAAGATATGTTAAAGAATATTAAGGAAAGGATTAGGACTCTGTCTAGTTGGGTCACAGTGTTTAAGGGGAAATATTGCCTCGTCTTCTGTGCAAACCTGCATCATATTGGCGTTGTTATTATGATGCAGGGGTGCTATTGGTGAAGAATATTAAATATGCCATGGACTTCCTGTAGGATAAGCACTGGATTGCAAACCACAAGGTCAGTGGTTCAAACTTACTAGTTGCTCCTTAGAAACCCTATGTTGTTGTCAGGTGCCATTGAGTCGGAACCAACTCATAGCGACCCCATGTACAGCAGAACAAAACAATGTCTGATCCTGGGCCAACCTCACTACTGCTGCCACACTTGACGCCATCAATGATGCCACCTGGCCGATCCATCTCGTTGGGGGTCTTCCTCTTTTTCTCTGACAGGGTTGCTATGAGTTGGAACCAACTCAGTGGCACTTAACCTCTACCACCACATCCAGAAGAATGAAAAAATCTGTTTTGGAAGGAGTACAGCCAGAATGCTTCTTAGAAGTGAGAGTATTGAGGCTTCATCTCAGGTACTTGGGACATGGTATCCGGAGAGATACCACCTGGGTGGATGACATCAAGTAAAGGGTCAGCAAAACAGAAGGAAATCCTCAATGAGATGGACAGTGTCTACAACAAGGATTGTGAGGCTGGTACAGGACTGGGCAGTGTTTCAGTCTGTTGAACATGGGGTTACTATGAGTCAGAACTGGCTCGACAGCACTTAACACTGGTTGTTGTGGTTGTGAAGTGCCATCAAGTCGGTTGCGAGTTGGTTTCTGAGGAGCAGCTGGTGAGCTTGAACCGCCGACCTTGCAGTTCAAACGGCTTTGCAGTCTGGCACATTAACCCACTGCACCACACCAGGACTCCTAACACTGGTTGTGTGGTGGTTAAAGCACTCTGCTGCTAACCAAAGGTCAGTGTTCAAACCCACTAGCCAATCAGTGGGAGAAAAATGTAGTGGACTGCTGCTCTTCATTTGCAGCCTTGGAAACCCTAGGGGGCAGTTCAACTCTATCCTTGAAGGTCACTATGAGTCAGAATCGACTAGATGACAGTGGATTTGTTTTTGTCATCATGCAGTGGAGGGAACCAGGAAAAGGTTTTGAGAACAAGAGATTTAGCCATCCCTTCTCATGAGGGTTGGGGAAGGTGAAGGAACAAAGAGATGAGAGTGGAGGAGACCAACTTTAGGCTCAATTCTCACATACTTCTTGTTGTTAGGTGCCATCAAGTTGGTACCAACTCATAGCAACACAACAGAAAGAAACACAGCCTGGTGCTGTACTGACCTCACAACCATTATACTTGAGCTATTGCTACTGCCACTGTGTCAATCCATTTCATTGGGGATCTTCTTCTTTTTCACTGACCCTCTACTTTACCAAGCATGATATCCATCTCCAGGGACTGGTCCCTCCTGCTAATATGTCTGAAGTAGGAGAGATGAAGTCTGGCTTCCAAGGAGCACTCTGGTTGTATTTTTCCCCAAACAGATTTGTTTCCTCTTTTGGCAGTTCATGGTACTTTTAACATCCTAACACCATAATACAAAAGCTTCAATTCTTCTACGGTCTTCCTTATTCACTGTCCAGCTTTCACATGCGTATGAGGTTATTGAAAATACCATGGGTCGGGTCAGGCTCACCTTAGTCCTCAAACTGACATTTTTGCTCTTCAATGCTTTAAAAAGGTCTTGTGTAGCAGATTTGTTGTTTGATTTCTTGATTGCTGCTTCCATGAGTGTTGATGGTTGATGCGAGCACAATCTTTTCTCCATTTACCATGATGATATTTATTGGTCCAGTTGTGTTCTAAAAGCTGATGATAGTTATAGGGGAAAATAAGGGTGTGGATGAGGTATGCATAATAAGTATTTTAAGTCCTCTTCGCTTTCAGCAAGCAAGGTTGTATCATCTGCATATCTCAGGTTGTTAGTGACTCTTCCTCCAATCCTGATACCACGTTCTTCTTCATACAATCCAGCTTCATGGATTATTTGCTTAGATGCAGACTGAATAAGTATGGTGAAAGAATACAACCTTGGTGCCAGGGTCTTACATACACTTCTCGTTAAGTGCCATCGCGATAGTCAGTTTCTACTCATAGCAACCCTGTATAGTTCTCAAGGAGAGGCTGGTGAGCTTGAACTGTGACCTTGTGGTTCAAACTGACTTTGCAGTCCAGGGCATTAACCCATAGCACCACACCAGGATTCCATTACACAATACTTGTTGTTGTTAACTGCCATAGAGCTGATTCTGACCCATAGCGACCCTGTATAGGGTTTCCGAGGAGCAGCTGTTGAGCTCGAACCATCAACCTTGCGGTATACTAGAGGCCTTCAAAAGTTCATGAAAAAAATTCCATTATCTTTTCATTCAATTTTCCAGTCTCTTTGAAGCCCCCTCGTATATTGAGCAGCTACTGTGTGGTAAACATATGCCCAAAACTGGAGATAAGAGATTAATTAGATCCAGGGTCCTCCATGTATGACCTTAAGAAGTATGTTAATTCTCCAGGTAGATAGGGATGAAATCAACAGGTAGCAATGAGATGCTATGTTTGAGACCCTCTTCCCTCCATGGACTGAAGTCCACTCTAACTGCCCTTCTGTGGATGTCCCAGTGGAGGCAGAATTCTGCTCAAGTTTGAACGGTAAGTCAGCCTCATGTCAGGGGACTCAGCCCCAGTTTCTGCTCTCAGACACAAGCTGTTGAGATAGGGTTTGGGGGTGTAGTGTCCCCACCATCTCTGCATCTATGTGGCAAGCCAGCTAAGGAAAACAATTACTAACTGCAAATGTGACATTGGAACTTGGGCATGAAAGCAAGCAGAATGGGACCTATTCTCCCCCAGACAGGTGATTTTTGGATTATAAGAGGGGCTGGGTGAAGAGGCCTAAGGGACAGCTTGCCTTGGAGATCTTCCTCACCCTTTGTTTTTCAATGGGGGCAGGGGGAAGGAGTGGGAAGTGCTAAACCCTTTTGTGACCAGTTTTGGTGGTTCACAGTCATTTCCCAGAGGTGCAGGTCTCTCCAAAAGGAAGGTGTACCTACTCACAGACCAGAACCACAGTATGTTCCTCCCTTTCTTCACTAGTGCTGGAATCAATATCATTTGATTTATTGGGCTTCCTCTTTGCCCTTCCCATGGTCTGGTACCTTGGATCACGTGCACAGGCCATCTAAACCTCAAATGTCCCAGGTAGGGCTTAGCTTTTCCTTGCCTTCCCATCCAGGAGAGTTATGGACTCCATACACAAATAGTCACCTCATCCCCAGAACTCTACCAGGGAAAGACGACTTGCTGGGCCCCAAAAGTGGTGTTACATATCTCTTTCCCAGGGCAAGGAAGTTAGCTGACCTTATATTCCCCAGCTAAGGGAGGCAGCTCTGGTGACTTTTCAGAGAATGGAGAGCTGGCTTCTCCATCTCTGCCTAATCAGAGAAGCAGCTGGAAGCTTCTCTCACAAACCTAGCTCTGCCTCCCCAGGAACCTTGTGAAGTGGCGCCTAAGCCTTCCTGCTCTGTCAGGGTAGTAAGGGGCTCTTCTGGAAAGGCATCTCCTGAGGTGCATTTGAAAGGATAGCAGGGAGTTTTTCAGGTAGTAGCTAAGTTTCAGAAGGGCATTCCCGGCAGACAGAGCAGATGTGTGAGACTCAGAGACAATATCAGCTGTTGTATTCTGAGAGCTGATGATGACTTCAGGGAAAAATGAGGGTGTGGAGGTATGGATGAGGCAGGCCAGAGCCAAACCTTGGGTCTTCTCATAGCAAGAGTGACTCACTGAACGACAAAGTATTCTTAGAGAATTTATTTTGTTTTCTCACCTAGGTCATCGAAAAGGACAAGAAAGCTCTGGACTCCAACCCCAAGACAGAGGGCAAGGAGGAAGGAGGCGTTTCCTGGCATCTGCTGGTTGCTAATCCTCCTCATCATCTTTACTCTTGATGGTGTTATAGACGTTGTAACCCAGAAAGGCCCCGACCTTGGCCATGAGGGAAGTGCTGCCAGTAGCCCCTGTAAAGCAAGCACACTGATCACTGGAAATCCAAATTCTGGAAACCACTGGCTGAGTCCCAAAAGGCCTGGAGGGGAAACAGGACTGCTGCAAAGTAAATTGTATTTCCCCACTTGCTTGCCATTTCAAATCAGAGATGTGTTTCAAAGATGGAAAAGCCACAGAGAATGGCTGTGTTATTAATAATGCTCCTTACAGCCACCTTTGTGGAGACCTTACTGTGTGGGTGCTGGGAAGGTTCACAAACAAGAAGTGGTTTCATCCTTGGTGTAGGATAAAAGGACCTATGAGAGGACAACTTTCTTATTGCCTGAGAGTGTTCTTAGCCTTGTCTCCGCCCTTCATCCCTTCGCTGCAGGGGTGTGGTCTAGCCAGAGTCTCTTTCCTTCCCCCTCAGAGAAGGCTCCGTGCTGCCTAGCTGGTTCAAGGGACTTTTATCATACATAACTGAGAGAAGGTGGAGGGTTCAGAAACACAGAGGGCGGGAGTTTGTCAAAGGTAGCTTTTCTTCAGGATTTTGGAGGTGTGGGAGAGAGAGGGAACAAAAAGGGAAGATAGGAGGAGGCAGGAAGGGAGGGAATGGGGGCAAGGGGAGAAAGGGAGAGAAGAGGGAGGCAGAGAGGCTTGAAGCAGGAAGCAAAGGAGTGAGAGAGAGGGATGGTTCTGAATCTATTCTTTTTGGGGTATTGAAGAAACTCAAATCAAGACCAGGGATGGTGTGAGATTGTTTTGGGTTGCTCCATCGTGTTTCTTTGCCACTTTGAGATTGAACAGATTCATAAATGCTGAACAGAGATAATTAGCATCGTCTCCAGTTGAGAGAACTGAGGCTTGGGCAAAGCATCTGTGGGACATCAGAGTTTAGAGACTAAAACCAAACTTCTAGACTTGAACTGACTAGTTTGAATCCTGGGCCTGCTACTAATCAGTTGTGAGAACTTGGAAGAAATTGCTTAAGCCCTTGGTGCTCAGTTTCCCTATATGTATGATAAGGATAATAAGAGTGCCAGTTTCATAGTGCTAAGTCAGCCGGAGAAATGGACCCACAACAGGACCGGTAGTCCTGATGCTCCAGGCCAAGGGTCTGATCTTCCACTCACCGAGGCTCTGCATTGTGGCTACCACTCCCCCGGCAGGCACGCCGCCGCCGTTCAGCACCGCAGAGCAGCTCATCATCCAGGAGGCGACGGAGTTGGCGGCGATGCCAGCGCCAGTGAAGCCTAGCAGGGGCAGCCCTGCCACCATGAGCCCTAGGGGGAGAGGAGAAGTGAGTGCACACACATGGCAGGGCCCCGCCCAACCTGCCTGCCCCGCCCCCCCACTCACACCTCCTCCAATCGCCATGTAGGGCAGAGCACCCCATAACCCGGAGTCACTGCCGTCTGAGTCCTCCGAGCGTTTTTTTCCTGTTGGGAGAGCAGACAAAACGGAGCGGAGTTGAGAGGAGGGCCCCCTTGCTTTGTGCCCACGAGAAGACTACTCCCAAAAGTGGAAGCTGCTACCTTCCTTACGGAGATCATCAGAGAAAGCACTGTGTCTGGTACATAGCTGGCACTGAAAATATTTTGGAAATATGGAGAAATGGACAGAGTAGGGATTCGAACCCGAGACTCTGGCTACAGCAACTCTGCACTATGCACTGTAACAGCTTCTCGCATTCAGAGGCACGCCTGGGATCCTGAGATCCCGCAACTGTCCTCAAGCCTCCCTCCCTTTTTTAACACCCCTCCCCCACGCCACATGACTAGGCTAGGTTGCTCACCTGCTTCCACTTGGCCACTGGCGAAGAGTAGCAGGTAGCACAGACAGAGCGATACTGCCTTCTGCCGCATGGTGGCGCCGCGAACGGACTTTGTGGCAGGTCCTGGGTGGAGACGGAAGAAAAGGTCTTCAGACCAGTGGAAGCCAGGATCCCTTCTCTGGAGTTAGGGTTTTCCCATTCCTTACAGCAACTATGACAGTGAGGTCCCGAGCTCACGGAAGTAATGAGAAATTCTTCTTCAGGTGTCGTGCCCGTACATGGTGAACCTTCATAGATGCAGCTGTTATTATTACTTTTGCTATTCTTAGTTTTGTAATCACTTGGGCATGGGCATGGGCATGGTATTAGGGTACTTTCATTCTCTGGACCTTTTCCTTAAAATGAGGTTACATTAACCAAGCCTATTTCAGAGGGTGGTTGTGAGTTTAGAAATTGCTCACCATATATCCCTAACACTTAGAACAATAACAGCACAGTTAAAAATAACAAACAAAAAATCAAATTAATTGCCAGCCAAATGGATTTCTAAAACTTCCCCACAGGTTTTCAAGACAGTAATCTTAACAGAAGTAGCCTATCACATCTAAGAAATATTACATTTACAATGATATCACACAGTTTTCTATGGTTAAGATGCATAATAAACATTACTGAGTGTTCTGTGTGACCTGGTACCCGAGGAGATCTATGGGGGTGGTGAGGGGTGATGCCATTTAGTTAGCAGCTCTGGGTGACTACAGCCCTGCAACCCTTGCAACCTCACTAGCTTACCTTGAAGATGAGAAGAGGAAGAATCGTCGTGCCTAGGGCCAGCTGATGGATGGAACTGTTGTCAAGAAACAGCTCTCAGATGGAAGCCTGGCTTTTTATAATCCGTTGGATTCTCTCACCCGGCCCCAAGCGGCCAATCCCAGTCGGAGTTTCTATTTCCTAGTCTGCAGAGTTTCAGTTTCCTCTCTCCTCCTGCTCTGCACCTCAGAAAGCTTCTGTGGGCTGGCTGCTGGCAGAGAGATGCAATTCAAGCTGTGGCTGTCCAAATAGCTAACAGCATTCAAAGCAAGTCACACTAAGGTAGAGTCTATGCCCCTAGGCAGTTTACTGAAGGCTGACTACCATTTCCTCTTAGGGTGTGGAGGGCTTTCACGAATCAATTAAACTAATACTATTTACTATTTATTGAGCACTTGCTGCATGCCAGGACTTGTGCAAAGTTATCTATGTACGGTCCCACAGCAGCCTTGTGAAGTACCATTTACTATTTATAACTCCCATTTTGAAGCTGAGGAGATGAAAGCTTTGGAAATGAAGTCATTCCATTCCATTGTTCCCTCAGGATGGCTGATTCTGGGTATGTGGTTGTTAAGTGTCATCAAGTCAGTTCCAACTCATAGCAAACCTGTATAGGGTTTCCAAGGAGCAGCTGGTGAATTTGAACCCCTGACCTTGTAATTCAAGCTGACTTTGCTGACCAGCACATTATCCTGCAGCGCCAGGTATAGGTTTTTTTTGTGTGCCAAAAAATTAGTCCCCTAGCCTAGGGCTCCTGGTGTGGCACTGTAGGATCAGCACTGGACTGCCAACCACAATGTCAGCAGTTCAAATACACCAGTTGCTCCTTGGAAACCCTATACAGGGTCGCTATGAGTCAGAACCAACTCAACGGCATTTAACATCAGCAAAAGCCCTAGTTGGAGTCCTGATGTGGCGTTGTGGGATAAGCACTGGACTGCTAACCACAAGGTTAGCAGTTCTAATCCACCTGTCACTCCTCAGGAGAAACATGAGACTTTGTGTTCCTGTAAAGATTTACAGTCTCAAAAGCCCTATACAGGGTTGGTACAATTCAGAACTGACTCAATAGCACACAGTGGCAGCAACTAACCACAGGTTGGTGGTTCAAAGCCACCAGTCACTTCTTGAAAATCCTATTCAGTGTTGCTATGAGTCAGAACCAACTCAAGGGGAACACAGAACAACAACGGCCCTAAGCAACGGATTAATCAGTCTCATGATGCTTGCAGAGGCACTGTGGGTAAGAAATGCAATCCATATTTGGAATACACAGAAGTTCCAGTGAGGATGACTCATTGTCCTCTCCAAAGTGGTAGGGGTCTGACTGTTTTCCCTGAGTAATGTTGTCACACTGCTGCCTCTTGCTCACAGATCGACTGGTTGCTAATCAGCCTTATAGAGGGCGCCCAAGATGTTGGACCCATTCATAGACTTTTCCTTGCTACAGTGGCCACTGTCTTATGGGTCAATTAGTGTTGTTGTTATTGTGGTGTGCTGACAAGTAGACTCCAACTCGTGTGATCCTATAGGACAGAGTTGAACTGCCTACTAGGGTTTGTAGGCTGTGAAGACGAGAGCAGATCCCCAGGTCCTTTCTTCCATGTAGCAGTTGGTAGGTTCAAACCACTGACTTTTTGGTTAGCAGCAAAGTGCTTAACTACTGCATTGCCAGGACTCCTTTGCAAAGCAATGTTGCTGTTGTTAAGTACCGATGAGTTGGTTTCAACTCATAGCGACCCTGTAGAGGATTTCTGAAGAGCAGTTGCTGGGTCTGAACTGCCGACCTTGTAGTTAGCAGTCTGGTGATTACCCACAGCATCATACCAGGACTTCTTGCAAAGCAATAGGGTGGTTAAATGTAGAGGTTTGCCAATATCCACAGTGAATGGTCTCCAGTAAGCATTAATGTGAGAAAGAGATTCGTGCCCACCCTTACACCCATTGCTGTTGAGTAGATTCTGACTCATAGCGACCCTACGTAACAGAGTACAGCTGCCATATAGGGTTTCCAAGGCTGTAATCTTTTTGGAGGCAGACTGCGACATCTTAGTCCCGCAGAGCAACTGGTGGGTTTGAACCTCTGACCTTCAGGTTAATAGCTAGCTGAACACTTAGCCACTGTGCCACCAGGACTTATCTCCCACTCCTATGTTGTTGTTGTTGTTAAGTGCCTTGGAGTCAGTTCCGACCCATAGCGACCCTGTACAGGGTTTCTGAGGCTGTAAATCTTTACGGGAGCAGAAAGCCTCATCTTTCTCCCATGGAACAGCTGGTAGTTTCGAACTGCTGACCTTAAGGTTCACAGCCTGATTCGTAACCACTACACTACCAGAGCTCCTTCCTTTCCCACTCCTTTAGGTTCACCCATATGTTTCTTGGCAGGTCTGCTTCTCTCTGAGTTTCCTATGTTGTTCTTTCCATTCTATTGACCAACTAGCCAAGCCATTTGCTACTTATTATGTATAGCCATGCGCAGTTTATTGCTTCTTCCATACAAAGGTTTGACAAAGAATACTGCTCATAGTTCTGTTGCCTGGGGGAATCATCCTTGTTCTTCAGGACTACACCCAGCTGGGGTTGTAATGTTGTTGTTGTGTGCCATTGAGTCAGTTCTTAGCAACTCAATATAGAGTTTAGCAACTATAACAATATAGAGTTATGACTCTTAGCAACCCTGAATAGAGTTTCTAAGACTGTAAATTTGAGGCAGAAAATCTCATCTCTCTTCCACAGAGTGGCTGGTGGCTTTGTATTGTTGACCTTGCAGTTAGAAGCTCAACACACAATCCTACGCCACCAGCATAATAGAGGGTTCTATTTGTGTTGTTAAGTGCCGTAAAGTCAGTTTTGATTCATAGGAATCCCATATAGGGTTTCCAAGGATGTAAATCTTTGCAGAAGCAGAAAGCCTCTTCTTTCTCCCCTGAAATGTCTGGTGACCTTGTGGTTCACAGTCCAGTGCTTATCTTACAGAGCCACTGCACACTCCATGGTCCATTTCTAGCTGGTACCAAAACATCATACTGAACTATCTATGAATTGGGTTAGACTCTTTTCCTCTTTTATCTGTTGGTTGCAAGTACCCTTTATGAGGTCATAAGTGTGAGTCCTTTATGAGGTCATAGGTGTGAGACAAAGGAGAGTTGTCTGATCAATAGAGTTATACCTACTCATTTAATGACCTCATACCTTCAAGATCCTTTTGAGTCCAGTCCTGAATGTACCACTTCCATCATAGATTAGATTGCTGCATTGCCTGTCTGCTAACACCCAGTTTAAGACAGTAGTCAGATGCTTCATCAGTACTGAGGTCCTTCGCTGTCACATGGACCATAGTAAGTGTGACTTCATTATAAAATCCTAGGGGTCTTCACTGTAACTCATCTCAGTTTTCAGACATTCCCCACAGCATCATTACCTCCACAGATACCTCCAGCAACATTGTCCCTGCTGTATCATTGAATCCGAATGGGAGCTTGGCTTATTTTGTGGCCTACACCTGCTGTATGGTCCTCTTTTGCTCTGGACCCCACTCATAATTGGCAGCTTTCTAAGGAATCCAATAAAAGATTAGAGCCATATTTCCAAGTGTATATATCCTGTCTCTAAAATCTAATGATAATCCACCAAGTACTGTGTTTCTTTCTAAGTGACAGGCTATGTGAGGTGAGCTAACCTGTCCTGACATGCCCCCAAACCACTGACTCCTAAAAACATCCAAGTGGCTGTACATCAAATCCTCGTGATCCACTGTCTTCCATTTGCTGACAAACATAAAGCTTATCACTCCCTGTTGTTGTGATTGTTATTCTGTGTCTTCAAATTGATCGCTATCCATAGTCACCCTCTAGGACAGAGTAGACCTGCCCCATAGGGTTTCCAAAGCTATAATCTTCATGGGGAGCAGATTGTCAGATCTTTCCTACAGCACCACTGGGTTGGTTTCAACCACCAAAATTTCATTTAGAAGTCAACAACTTAAATATTGTGCCACCAGGATTCCTTTATCACTTCCTGTTCATGTCCAATTAGCATGATGTCACCAATATAGTTGATCAGCATAATGATTAGTGGAATGCCAAGGCAATCAAGCCCCTAAGACTAGAGTATAGCAGAGACCTAGAATATTAACAAATCCCTGAGGAGAGAACTGAAGGTGCTAAAAGAAAACTGCCCTCAATCATCCTTGTTGATGGGTATTGAAAAGAAAGCATTTGTCAAATCAATAGCCAGACATCAGCAGCTAGTAAATTGTGTTGATGTGTTCCCAGTAAAGAT